CAACCTCACACCTCGCACCCACACCCAAGCCCAGACCAGCCCGCTCGACCGACTGGACGAACGGCGGCGGCAGCGCACACGTTTGTGTTTGTTTTTGGGTCCAATGGGTCTAGCCTATTTGCCCATAGCCTCACCCTTCCATAAACTTGGGTGCTCCCCCTTGCAGCCCATTCCAAGTATCCCAAGCTAAGGTTTATACACTCATTTAAAAACTTGAAGCTTTTTCAATGGGGGACATGCACATTTCATAAATGTGTAGGAAACCCACCTAAATTCATTTCCACGAACCCGAAAATGCGCGCTGAATTCTCATTCATCCGGAAATGATTTTGAGCAACCAAATACACAAATTTATTCATTACGCGGCATTAAACATGAACCCAATTAGAAACGTTAAAAATAACACTTAGGTTCCATCTTAATTAATGCTCAAAGTTAGCAAAAAATAAGGATTTTCAAAGCCATTTTTCAACAATCCCCCACATGAATGGAATTCATGATAACGGACATATAACAAGATGCAGACAAAGAAAGAGTATATTAAGAAGATACACTACATCGAAATAGGAGCTTTTGGCTTCGAACCTCCTCTAGTGAAAGCCTATCGAACTTACTAGCTGACCAGTGGACACGATGCCTTGAACTGTTCAGCAATTTGTGTAAGCTAAGGTAATAGACTACACATAGTGTATTCGCAGACACAGTTTGGTTCTTACGGTTGTGTTCATTTTGGCCTTGAACAATGCTTGGTAATTCATGAGTGCTCTAGAGGATTTAGCCTTCTCAATTCTCATAGAACCTGCCTAGTTCACACTCATATAGGTGACTTTTTATTAATAGTATCCTGCCATACTCCACTTGAATGTCCAAGCTATAAGAATCATTAAAAGCAAAGCTTATCCGACTAACGCTGCAGATATCACTCTTCTTATCATAGAAATAGGTAGGAGTAAACCTCCTTAGTGATACGGGAAGTCATCCATAATTCGGTTTTCCCTTTTGAACCTAGATCTTGGGATATTCAGTCAACTAGGTTGGGTTGCCATTATGGCGACTTTTAAGTAATAAACTTTAATCCCATTCTCCTAGATAAATAGTACACTCACTCTCTAGCTAACCCTTTAGTCAATGGATCCGTAATATTTTCTTTTGACTTTACATATTCTTTGGAAATTATTCCATGTGAAAACAAATGTCTAATGGTATGATGTCTTCGATGAATGTGTCGAGACTTACCGTTATACATATGATTATGTGCCCGCCCTATTGCTACTTCACTATCACAGTAAATGTATATAGCTAGCACAAGTTTAGGCCACATTAGAATGTCTTCCAAGAAATTACGAAACCATTCTACTTCTTCTCTTGCTTTATTTAATGCGATAAATTCATATTTCATTGTCGACCTAGCTATGCATGTCTACTTGGAAGATTTCCAGAGACTGCAGCACTTGCCAGGGTAAAGACATATCCACTAGTGGATTTTGAGTCTTTCGTATCTAATATCCAATTTGCATCTCTGTACCTCTCGAGTACTGCTGGATATTTGGTATAATGTAACCCATAATTCCAGGTATATCTTAGATACCTAAGTACCCTAATTATCACTTTCCAATGATCAGACCCTGGATTACTTGTGTACCTACTCAATTTGCTTTCAGCATGGGCTATATCTGGCCTAGTGCAATTCATTAAGTACATCAAGCTTCCGATTATCCGAGAGTACTCTAATTGTGATATGCCTGCACCTGTATTTTTTTGACAAATGAAGACTAATGTTAACAGGTGTTTTAGCAGAACGGTCGTCATGCTTTCCAAATTTCTCCAAAATCTTCTCAACATAGTGAGATTGAGATAAAGCATATTCTTCAGATGTTCTAGTAATTTTTATTCCTAGAATTACATTTGCTACTCCCAGATCTTTCATGTCAAACTTGTTGTTCAACATATTTTTTGTAGATTTAATCATGTCATTATTGCTTCTAATAATGAGCATGTCATCCACATAATGACAAACTATGACATAGCCTTTGTCTGTGCTTTTAACATAGACGCATTTGTCACATTCGTTTACCTTAAAACCATTTAAACACATAACGTGATTAAATTTTTCATGCCATTGTTTCAGACCTTGTTTTAATCCATAAAGAGATTTAACAAGTTTACAAATCTTTTTCTCTTGGCTAGGAACTTGAAACCTTTCTGGTTGTTCCATACAGATTTTCTCATCTAACTCGCCATTCAAAAATATTATTTTAACATCCATTTGATGTATCTCTAAATCATACAGAGCTGCAATCGCTATTAGCATGAGAATGAATGTTATTCTTGTCACTGGTGAATAGGTGTCAAAATAATCAAGGCCTTCCTCTGTCTGTATCCCTTAACAACAAGCCTAGCCTTGTATTTATCTATTGAACCATCTGCTTTCATTTTTTTCTTGAATATCCACTTACATCCAAGAGGTTTGCAACCTGGCGGAAGATCCACCAGTTCCCAAGTATGATTTTGCAGAATTCATTCAATTTCTCTATTTACAACCTTTTTCCACAATGGAGCTTCAGGACTTGACATTGCTTCCTTGAAGTTTTGAGGCTCATTTTCTAACAAGTATTTCAGAAAATCTGAATCAAATGATTTAGAGATCCTAGCCCTCTTGCTATGTCTAGGTTCATCTGCTTCATTATTATTGTGGTCTTCACTGCTACCCATAGCAGTAGAAGTTCTTTTTTTTTGGAACTTTTTTCTTCAGTTTCCTTACATGGAAAAAAGTGTTCAAAAAACAACGCATTCCTTGATTCAATAATAGTGTTTACATGCATATCAGGATTTTCAGATCTATGTACCAAAAATCTATATGCACTACTATTATTTGCATAACCAATGAACACACAATCAATAGTTTTTGGTCCTATCTTAATCGTTTTAGGACTAGGGACTGCCACCTTGGCCAAACACCCCCACACTTCGAGGTAATTATAGGTAGGTCGTCGACCTATCCATAATTCATAAGGTGTCTGATTGAGTTTCTTGTAGGGTACTGTCACGACCCAAACCTGCCCCTAAAAGTTTGATCCATGACCGGCCTGTACTTAGGCCTCAAAACAAAATTTCATAAATATTCACTCAAATATGGGGCCTTAAGCGGAAACAAATACCAACATAAAGATAATGTCCATTGAGCTTATGCATACATGAAGACTTAAATTAATTTAAGCATTTAAATACACTTTCCATATTTACATATTTACTCACAGAACTTATACAGATCTCACACACTATATGAAAGACTTCAATACAACTAGGCTTGACGAAGTAAAACCATGCCCCTTTCATGGAGGCATTTCTTGGATGGCTTGACAGCTAGGTGAACTTCGGTACAACTTTAATATTGATCCTTCGATGGCTCACCTATATATATATATATAAAGTAAAAAGGGTGAGCTAACGCCTAGTGAGTAATATTAAAGTAAAGAGGGTAATGAATGATGCCCTTAATATTAAGAAAACATATTTCGCAATTCTGAAATGTATCTTAAATCATGTTAAAACAAACATTTATCATATCAAAATCTATGCTTTTTCAAACGGATTACATACCTAAACTCATCACAAAACATTTTGCATGGTATGTGATACACCCATTTATACAAAGGGTTAGAATCACATTTCAAAATAGGACATCCATTCATGCATATCAAATGACATTTCGTAATCATGAATCATATAACGAAGTAACAAAAAAAAAAAACATTCTTATTCATATCATATTTTCTGAATGACCTCGGTTCCACGTATAACAAAACGGCCTTAGGCCCAACCATATATCAAACGACCTTAGGTCAAAATGTATCATATCACTTTGTCGTGGAGTAGATGGAACATCGACATGTCTCCACCTTTCTTTGGGCCCAATTCATGTATGTATGGACTTAAGAAGTGTCTCGTACGAATTCTAGAGGTGACTCTCAGTGTAACACTTAATTCTATACAACACTTTGTTCCATACCAAAGTCAATAGGTCTTAAAGACTGAACAATTCATATCATATCATAACATAAACAGAACGGCCTTGGGCCCACCTTGTCATATCACCAACAATTTCACATTTCATATCCATATTCCATATCACAGTTCTTGTAACTCATTCATTCGCAGAAAACATAATTTCAAAACATCATAACATTTGTGTATTGAAATAAATATAAATGAACATATCTTTACAATATTATTACTCACATTGATGGGCTTCTGGTAGCAGTTGGACGATGTTCTCGTCTTGACCTACAATCACAATTACATAACACAACATATGAATGTAACTAATTCATTTCTTTGCTCTTTAATCAATTATTTATGTTGGTTCTAAACTCATTAGTCCTCAATGGATCATAATTCATATCAAGGAAAATGGGAAGAAACAGAAGGAAACTGGGTTAGGAGAAGAAATAGCATGCACTACAACAAAACTGACTTTTTACGGTACCACATTAACGACATACAATAAATGCATGCCGTAGTTTCTCACTTTTATGACTTACTTTTTTTGCATGTCGTAAATACTTTTTCAACCACGACCTATCTATTGCGTAGGCCGTGAATGCTATCAATGATAATTTTTTTACGACTTGCAATGTTAGTCATAAATAATAAAACTTTTTACGACGTGCATATGTCATGCTGTTAACACATCAACTATACACAACACGCGTATGCCAGCCGTTAAAAATATTAAACATTTCACGATGCACATAAACTAACCGTTAAAAATATTAAACTTTTTACGATGCATAAAAAATTAATCGTTAAAAAATATACTTTCCACTACACATATATGTTAGCCGTTGAAAAAGTTTTAATTTTCACGGTACGCAACTTCTGTTGTGAACAATATGAAAAAAAAAAAGAAAGAAAGGGCGCCAAAATGAAAATGTTGAGCGCTACACGCAAAAAAAAAAAAAAAAAATCAAAATTGATTAACTCGTGGCTTTTTACAATAGAAAGGAACGAGGTTCATCAAAAGGAGCATAGAAAGGAGAAAGAGTGACTGACCATACAACCCTTGCTCTGCCATTGTTGCGACCTCTTTCTGCAGTATGAAACAAAAGAAGAAATGGGAAAGGAGAAGCCAAAATCCATAGGAGTATGGCCTGCAGTGAGACCCTTTGTCAATGGCGGAGCGTCTGGCATGCTCGCTACCTGTGTTGTCCAACTCATCGACATGATCAAGGTACCCTACTTCTTCTTCTTCTTCCTCATACTCTCTCTCTCTCCCCATCAGTTAAATTTCGCATATTTGTCCTCTCTTTCAAGGGTTTCAGATCTTCGACTCTGTTAATGTTACATCTTCATTTTGTGCTTCTTTGTTCTACTTCTGTTCTGCTCACTTTTCACCCCAAACTCTTTGATTTTCTGTTTTGCTTTGCTTTGCCCTCAGATCTTAGACCAAAGGCCTCCATCTCCAACCTTCACTATGTTGAATTGTGAGCTGAAAGATGATTTTTATTTTTTATTTTTATATGTTGGTTAGTTAAGATCAAAGTGGAAAGTTACATGCTAAATATGAAGAATTTTGTTTTTGGAATCTAAATATGGTGTTTCATTTTGAGCAACTTCTTTTGATTTTTGACGAATCGAAGGCACCATACCTGTTTGTAAATATGCCTCACTGAGAATTTCTTTTCATGTGGACTTTGTATCCTTCGCCCATTTGATTTCATGCAATTCTATGTAGCTCTGAGTTGCGAAGAATTCATCAGAAACTAGATATTGCTTGAGTTATTGGTGCATTTATAATAATGAACATGTGCCAGATAAATTTTGTAACTTCCACAAATACGCACACTATCTATTTGAGAATGGGAGCTATGAGGAGGCTATGGAACAGTTTTTGGCATCTCAAGTAGAAACCACATATGTGCTTTCTTTATATCCATCTATTGTCCTTCCGAAATCAGCTGTGGTACCTGAGCCGAAGAAGTATATAGACATCACCGGAGATACTCCATATCTGTCAAGAGGCTCGTCTGGTATATCAGATGATGTCTATATACTTCACAGATGATGGAATCCCCACCTACTTCACAGCTGTTGGAATCTGATGAGAGTGCTGCCCTGGAGTCCAAGAAAATGAGCCATAACATGCTAATGGTTCTCATCAAGTTTTTGCAGAAGAAGAGATACAGTATAATTGAAAAAGCCATTGCTGAGGGAACTGAGGAAGTTGTTTCAGATGCTGTTGGGGATAATTATGTATCGTATGATTCCAATCGGTTTAAGAAATCATCCAAGGTAAATTATTCATATTTTCCTTCATGAGGAAAATTAGGTCATGTCAAATATAATTCAAAAGTATTTTACATTGATTTGTAGTAGCTTTGCTTGATTCCTTCTTTTACTTGTATTTTCAGGAGTATTTATATAGTTCAAAAGTATTTATATTTGATCATGATCATTTGAATTAAATGCACAGATGCTAGACTGCATGGTTGCTAAATTTCATCCTAAAATATCCACACACACAAATGCATACACACGTAATATGCATGTAATGGCAAATAGTGCTGGCGATGGATGCACAAGTAATGATGACATCTATTTATGATCAATATTTCATACAATAAATTATTTGAATTATCATGATTGATTTTACCGATTTAGTGATTTATCAGTTGTTATGTTGTGCTTTGAATGTCTTTAATGTCTACCAATAATCCTTGATATTAAATATGGGTATTTGCACAATGTTGTCAATATATTGTTCCATCGTCTGATCTATATTTTATTTTTATCTTCTAATTTTCTGCTTTGGTTTTTTAGGGCCGAGTTAACATTTCCATTAGCTCAGGTGCTAGAGAGATGGCAGCAGTGCCGCAGTGCCGACATCATTTGGCCCAATTATTGAAATGGCCATGACAATTGTTGAGAAGAGTGGTGGCCAGTACCATGTTTTGTTAATAATTACAGACGGACAGGTAATCTTGCTTTGTTAATTAAACCTTTAAAATCCTGTGGTGGCCAGCACCATTCTTTGTTAATTAAACCTTCAAACTTACCTAGCCATTTGGGTGTTGCCATAGGTTACTAGAAGTGTTGATTCTGAGCATGGTCAGTTGAGTCCACAGGGGAAGAAAACTGTTGAAGCAATTGTAACAGCAAGGTTATTGGGTGTAACTTCTTGTTCTTCAATTGTTGTCTCGCTGCACCATTCTCTTTTCTATTGCTCTTTTTATAATTTATTTTGTCAACTTTTATATTAAATTTGGCTACATTTGTATAGCAAGTTACCCTTGTCTATTATATTAGTTGGGGTTGGAGATGGACCCTGGGACATGATGAGGGAGTTTGATGACAACATCCCGGCTCGGGCCTTCGATAATTTCCAAGTAAGTGATGTACTAGCATTATAAGGTTTATTATGCCTTCTGAGTTGCCACTACTATTGGATGCATATTACTGTTGACAATGCTTAATATGGGACAACTATTTTTTCTCTTTAGTTTGTCAATTTCACAGAAATTATGTCAAAGAATGTGGCCCAATCCCGAAAAGAGACAGAATTCGCTCTTGCAGCGTTGATGGAAATTCCTTCTCAATATAAGGCAACAATAGAGCTCAATATATTAGGGTAATTGATGGTTAACTTGAATATGTAGGTTTTAATTGCCTCAATTTCACATATGATCTCATTGTCTTCTCTTTGCTTGGGTACAGTGGCCAGAAAGGGAATGTTCCTGAGAGGGTTCCCCTCCCACCACCTGTATATAGTGCACCTTCGTTTAGCAGCTCGAAATCTTCATGTTCATCTAATTTCCAGCAGAGCTCGGCTCCTTATCATGGCCACAACAGTCCTATTAGCACAGCTCCACCTGCTTCAAGTTCTACTTTTGATAACCAGGTACTTGGTCCAATTCAAAAATATAAAATTCCCAGTGCTGGTAAAGGGTCTATTTGAACAGAGTGTTGTCTTTAATCCTTTGAAAAAATTTTCATTATACCCTTTGTGCGCGTGATTCTTCTTGTTTGGTGCAATTTATAACTGGAAGTTGATAATGTCCCTTTTCATGCTTCCCAATATTCAACTTTTTTCAACTTGTTCAAGTTATTTATGCCTCATAAGTTATAAGCAAAAGTTACCCCAAAGGCTCTGCAATAGACTAAAAAATAATTAGAAAAAATAATCTATAAGCAGCACCATGTTGACGTTGGTATGCTCTTAGCACTATACATGAGAAATCTCATATTTTAATCACTTGTTTTAATCATAGTAAGGCTGTGCTGCAATGTTAGTAATTTCAGGTAGGAAAGAGATGTAGGAATGTATGGCAAAAAGAAAATAAAACTAAGGAATATGTTTTTGTTGAAAAACTATTTAGTTTACTGGAAAAAAGTATGCCAGAAAATAAAGCATGGACTTTCTTGTGATGCTTTCTTATGTTAAATTAGCGTGAAGCACTCACTTAATTTAGCATGTACCTACACTTATCAAACATGATCAATTCAACTCAAGAGTTCCGATACCTTGTTGTATGCTTAATTAAATTTAAAACTGAAAGATAAAGTTCATGGCATTGAAAACAAAATAACAGAATAAATTTTTTTGGGAACTCACCTGAAATAACTTCAGTTAATGGCCTTTCTGGGGGAAAAAATGGGGAAGAAAACAATTAGAGAATGGTCACAAAGATTACTATTGGATTCTCTACGATCCGATGTCTGCTGAATATGACTATATGTAGTGGTAACCCAGTCATAATGTGAATGATTTCAATTCTGGATTTCATATTGAGACTTAAAGTTGTCTTGGAGGCAAAACGTGTGTATTTGTCTGCATATTTTCTATCACTAGGCTACAAAATAGGCTCATCTTCTGCACAATTATTTTCAGCTTGACCGTTTTCTCCTTTTTTAGGATTTTGTGTGGCTAATATGTGTTATTTCACTCTGGTGTTTGCTGCGATATCAACAGGTAAATATTGGGACAAGGTTGTTGACAAGAATGCACCAAATGAAGAAGTTTGGTTACGGGTAACTTACTTTTTAGTTGATTTATCATACTGGACTGCATGAATCCTTTCCAGTGCATTGTCGAGTCAAATGAGAGCTTGATAAGAAGTAAAGGGAACAGTGACACTCCTGCTTGGTTTGTAAACATATATGCATCTGACATTGGGAACACGTGATTTGGGATAGATAAAGAGTTGAAACCCACAATTCTTAAGTCATGGTTGCACTATGATTGTATGCATGTCTAGAGAGCTAAGCATTTTGTACAAAGGTAGGAATATGGTAGCGTGATTTTGGTTGACTGACTTTGGGATAATAATAGGTGTTACCATTCAAAAGTCTGAATAGGCATTAATAGGCATTCCATCTCGTGTCTTTTCCTAGGTAGTCTACCTCTTTCCCTTTTTAAGCTGTCATAATGTGAGATTATAAGCAGTTTGAAGCCTAAGCTTACTTTGTTCCTACTTGTAGTATATTTTTATCTCCTTCTCTTTCTCTGTTATCTATGACATATTTGCGGTAAGAAACCTTATCTATGAGGTCATGTCAAGGAAACAAATATTTCCTGCTAGTTTGGCACTGGGAATTCTCAATTTTTTTGGTGGGTGGATGGATGTTGGAAATCCTTACTGTGGAGGATTGGTGTTGGGAAACATCAGTTCAAGACTGGTGATAATGCCCTGCTCACCACATTATTAATCCTTGTGCATCGATGTAGATTATGTGTCAACTTTTTCTTGCTTGGATGTGGAAGATTATGCCAGTGTATGTGGAATAATTTCTATTTTAATCGCGTGATAAACAGCAGGCCCATAATTTTTAAATTTCATGTTTCAATTAATCTTATTTACAGTCAATATAATACTAAATTTGACCAAAATAACTCACTGACCAACTTGCTTTTAATGCAATTTTAGACTATCTTGCCATGGATAGCCGTGCAATTGATCTAACTGAATGTGAATTGACTTAATAAGTCTGTTTATATTCACATATTTGCACACATCCACATATTTTTGTAGATAAAGACATAAAGCAAGAGTGCTTAGGCAAACTGAAATTCCAAAGTATTGCAGTGTAGGTATTCGACCCCAAAGTGAGAGCTGGGTAGAATTTCAATCTCAAAGCTGCTTATCAGAGACCTGTTCTAGATGAACCATAAATTTCTTATGTCCTTTTTTGAAATCAGATTTGCTTTATGTCATCTTTTTCTTATTTCTGCAGATTGAGGAAATGTGCAGAAGAATGAGAGCATCTGCTGTTCCTATTATGTCTGATTCTGAAGGTTATTATGTTTACTTGTTCCTTAATATATTTACTCCCTTAATTTTGCAATTCTATAGCTTTAACTAGTTTTTATCATTATTTTTTTAGGCTTCACCTTGCTAATTCAATTGGTACTTATGTTGGATGTATTGGTTATGACTTAGTGACTAATTCCGAATGCTCTATGTTCCACAAGGATGACATGAATGTTAGTTTGCACCTCAATTATATAAAAAATTCTCTTTAGTCTTGGCGATGTAATTCCAGCAGACCAAGAAAGTCAATAAGCTATCGACGTAAAGAGATAGCTTATTCATCATTCAATTTTCACGGATGGTGACAAGTCTTCGTGGAAGCTAGATTCTTCCTCAAACATTGATTCCACTGTTTATCCTCTTTTTACTCTTTTCAAATTGTTGAAAACTAAACCATTTCAGAAGGTACTTTATTTGTCTCTTTGAGCTCCTTTGAAATCCAACATCTGATGAGCACTTGAAATTTATGATTATGTTTATTTTCTGTAACATTCATAATGGTTGCCAATCAAAAACATTTATATTGCTTCTATCACTGCTTCAATCAGGTTGAATTCACCCCAGAGGAACTTGATTCTCGGAACAGGTCACTAAATCTACAAGTATGTGTTGTTATTTCCTCATCCATTTCTCTTATTATTTATGTCCTCTCCATATCTCAAATCCTATTATACCTGTCAGAAGAGATGAAAGATTTTAACCACCCTCAGCAGAAATATACAGTACCTATATATTACCAATACCAAAACACACACTCCTTAGCAGGTTTTATATAATCGTTGCTCATGCATGAATTTACAACATATAGCATATATTTGATGAGATCACATTGTTAGTTTAGTGCCTTGGAGCTGAATGATACATGAAACTAAGTATACCTTAATCTATAATTGAATGATAATAATTGATGATGATGTGATAGTGAAATATTGGTGTTAACTTTGGTTTGTTCTTTGTGATGTTCAGGAGATAGTGATGTCACAAAAAAAAGGATGTAACCAAAAGTAAAAGCCAAGGGGGTCTAGGAGTTAAAAAGATGTAACCAAAAGTAAAAGCCAAGTGTGGTACAATTAACTCTTTATACAACAGAAATGGTGATCATGAGGGCTGGAACTTAAATTTTAGAACTCTGTTTCAATGGGAGGTGGAGGAAATAATGAGATTAAATGATGCTCTACTTGCTGCACCTGCTATTAGAGACAACAGGTTTGACAATTTAAGGTGGTCTACTGGTTGTTCAAATAGATTATGTCTCCTCAGCTTATCATTGGTTTGAATTGTCCTTGGGCCCTATTTGTATAATTACTGCCTCTATTTGAAAAAGTGTTGCCCCTCCCAAAGCTCAATTCTTTGGGTGCTTGGCATGGAGAAGGAGGATCAAATCATCCAGCTATCTTCAAAGGATTGGAGTTCTCAATAATAATGCTATTGTTCTTTCTGTTTTCTGCAGGACTAAGATGGAGTCTGATGATCATGTGTTATTGCACTGTCCATTTGTTTGGTTACTTTGGTCACATGTTATTAGATGGTGGGGTTTAGTTTGGGCATTACCAGGCTCTGTTAATGACTTACTCCAATGGTGGGCCGGTGTAAATCTGTCAAAACTGGAGAGGAAAATCTGGAATTCCATTCTCTTTGCTGTTTTATGGTCAGTTTGGAAGCTTAGGAATTGATTTATTTCTGTGTTGTCATTGATTTATTTCTTTGTGTTGTGATTAGGCGGAGGAATCAAAGTTTGTGTTTGAAGCTAAGACAATCCAGAGAATGGAGCTTCTGGTGCTATCTACTCTTCAATGGAAGATGAATTCTCTGACCCACTTTCATTTGTTGATCACATTGTGAGGGGGTTTGGATTTAAGACAGATTTGCATTTGGAGTTTTTGTGGTGTATGGTCACACAATCACTAGATTTATTTGTGAATCTTGAAAGTTGTCGATATGTTTAGAAAGTTAGATATGCATAGTTTTGGATGGTTTAAATTTTTTGTACAGTTTGGAACTTAAGGATATAGTTTTCAAATGTTTGGAATGTATAGACAATTGTTGAATATTTATAATTTATGGATATAGGTTCTTTTTGATGTTTCAAAAAATGTTTTGGTGGTTGATTAATGTTTTGTGATGTTTGTTTGTAATATTTGTTAAATTGTACAAAATTGGTCGAATAGGACTTGCTGAATTTAAAAAAAAAAAAAAATTGTATATTCTATGATAAACATAATAAGTCGTTGTATTATATATTTTATGGCGTGCAAAAGTAGTCGTAGAAAAAGTAACGACAACGCACAAAAGTTGTTAAATAATTTTTAATGGCGTGCTATAGCATGTAGAAAAAGTGACAATGATGCATAAAATTTGCCGTTAAATAGTTTGTAACGGCGTACGAAGCATGTCGTTGAAAGTGAAAGATTTTCCATGACTAGTCATAATATGACGCGCGCTGCATGTCGTAGAAGTGTGCATGCCGTAGAAACCTTTTTTTGTTGTAGTGATGAAACGGGTAGACAGAAAGTGAACAACTTTCACTAATTTAAATATATCTATTAAAATTTGGGTGTGAGACCACTACCATTAAAAACTGGACTTCTAGGGTTTGAATTTAGGCTCAAGAATCACTTAAAACGGAGTTCGAATAAGGGAAATATGCTTATTTGAAGTTGGGCTAAAACAGGGGTGCCTTGCACCTGTGGGAAATAGGGCCGCACGTGCGGGACGACGTGCTTTTATTTCAGAATCAATTTGGATGCTGGAAATGGACTGCTGCACGTGCAGAAAGCCCCGCCGCATGTGCGGCTCTGGGCAAAATCTGCTGCGGAAAATATGTGTTGGCTTTAACACTTGTTCTTCCATTTTCTAAGCTAGATTTCAACTCAAATCACTCCAAATCATGTAAAACCAATGGAAAACATGAGATTATGATTGTTTCTAAATCAAACATCAAAAACACAATGAATCTTCAAGTAAGGAAGATCTTTTTCAAAACTTCTTCCATATTCACATAGATCTTCATTTCATATATAATTAACCATACAAAACGTCAAGATTAAGGCTCAACTTCTCATAATCAACTTCAAGATAAGCAAATATAATGAGATTGACTCTTAAATCAAGCAAATCTAAGGAATCAAGGTTCAATTTCATGAAGAGAGCTCATTTAAGCTTGTACTTCAAAACTTTAACTCAATTAGGTTTTTAATCTTCATCTTTTCAAACAAATAATAGGTTAATCCTAAGAAGTTAAGTTGATTTCTACTTAACTCAATTCAAATCCTTGCTTTTCTCTTAAATCTCTTCAAGTTCTTCTTCTTCAATTTTGTCTTCAAATTCCATGGGTGTTGAGCTCTCTCTCTTTCTCTAAAAGCTTTCTCTTCCTTTCTCTTTCTCTCTCTCTCTCTCTCTCTCTCTCTCTCTCGGTTCTTCTCCAGAACCCCCTTCTCAAAATATCTCTCTCTCTCTCTTCTTTTGTTGAGCCAAGCAAGGCTCATATACATAAACATATATATATATATATATATAAAAAATAATTAATGAAAATCAATTTAATTCATTATGAATCAGATTTTTACAAAGCTTCATACTAGGCTCTAAAAATCATGCTAATCATAACTATATACCCCGTTTTGGTTTCTAAAGCCTCTAAGGCCTTCAATTTGCAATGCAAAGTTACAATTAAACCACCCAAACACACCTTAACGAATCAGACGAAATAAATTTTCAATTAAACTTCCCAAATGGCTTTGAAAATTTCCATTAGCATATCCATATACTCAATTTCTATTTCTAAACCCATTAAAGTTGTCAGTTTCAGTTTCAAAGTCGTAATTCAACAGATAATTCCTCAATTAAAACAAATATAATTAAATTAAAGCACATTAACCCATAATTAAATAAGGATAATTTTTGATATGCATTTTCGGGTCGTTACAGGTGCCCTGTTTAGGATAAAGTTAGCAGAGAAAATCGCCTTCCCCCACAAGTTCTGAGGTAACCCTGAACTAATCAACATGGCATTCATCATCTTTTTAAGAGTTTGATTCTTTCTCTCAGCAACTCCATTTGATTGAGGAGAATAGAGTGCAGTGGTTTGGTGAATAATGCCATGTTTAGAACAAAATTTCTCGAATGGTGCTTCATACTAGGCTCTAAAAATCATGCTAATCATAACTATATACCCCGTTTTGGTTTCTAAAGCCTCTAAGGCCTTCAATTTGCAATGCAAAGTTACAATTAAACCACCCAAACACACCTTAACGAATCAGACGAAATAAATTTTCAATTAAACTTCCCAAATGGCTCTGAAAATTTCCATTAGCATATCCATATACTCAATTTCTATTTCTAAACCCATTAAAGTTGTCAGTTTCAGTTTCAAAGTCGTAATTCAACAGATAATTCCTCAATTAAAACAAATATAATTAAATTAAAGCACATTAACCCATAATTAAATAAGGATAATTTTTGATATGCATTTTCGGGTCGTTACAGGTGCCCTGTTTAGGATAAAGTTAGCAGAGAAAATCGCCTTCCCCCACAAGTTCTGAGGTAACCCTGAACTAATCAACATGGCATTCATCATCTCTTTAAGAGTTTGATTCTTTCTCTCAGCAACTCCATTTGATTGAGGAGAATAGAGTGCAGTGGTTTGGTGAATAATACCATGTTTAGAACAAAATTCCTCAAATGGTGCATCATACTCACCACCTCTATCACTCCTCACTATTTTAATAGTTTTGCCAAGTTGATTTTCAACCTCAAGTTTTATATTGCCTAAAAGCTTCTATGGTTTCATCTTTACTTCCCAATAAGTAAACATAGCAATATCAAGTGCAATCATTAATAAAAGTAATAAAGTATTTCTTATCTCTTCTAGTTTGAACAAATTTTAAATCATATATATCTGTGTGAATTAAACTTAGAGGTTCAGTACTTCTTTCTACTTGATTAAATGATGCCTTAGTGAGTTTTGCCTCAACACAAATCTCACATTTATAATTAGGATCAAATTCTAAGTTTGGCAAACATTCTAAAGCAACAAGTCTACGCAAAGAATTAAAATTTACATGTCCTAATCTACCATGCCATAAAAAAGACGATTTAGCAATATAAACAAAAGATGTGTTCTTATTATTAATACCCAAATTTGGTACAACTGTATTTACATTGAGCTGAAAAAGCCCATCACTCATATAACCTCGCCCCACATACATTCCACTCTTGGAGAGTACAACTTTGTTAGATTCAAAGACTAATTTAAATCTATTCTTGATTAACAATGACCCATAAATCAAATTCTTGTGAATCTCTGGCACAGAGTATATTGTTAAGAGTGAGTTCTTTCCTTGAGGTCATTTTCAGCACGATCTTTCCTTGTCCTTCCACAGTTGAAGTGGAGGAGATTCCCATAAAAAGTTGTTCCCCACTTTCCACCACTTTGTAGGTTGTGAACATTTTCTTATCTACATAGATATAGTGGGTTGCTCCAGTATCCACCCACCACTCCTTTGAATTGCCCACATAATTTTCTTCAGAAATTACTGCAACAAGATTGATGTTTGCCACTCCATCGGAAAGATAAAAATCCTCGGCTATGTTTGCTTGTGCTGGCTTTTTGCTTGAACTTCCTCCGTACTTGTGAACCTGACAATCCTTAGCGCGATGTCCATCTTTGCCGCACACAAAACACTTACCTTTGAACCTCTTGTTGAATCCGTTGTTGATCCCTTTGTTGATCTTACTAGCGGATCCTTGTTTGGGACCATTGCCATCATGCTTCCACTTCTTGTTGTAGAACTTTGACCCTTGTTCATGTTCCACAACATTTGCTTTAGCTTGTATGGCATGGTTTCCTGACTTCTTGTTGGAACCACGGTTGTCCTCCTCAATCTTGAGTCGCACTATTAGTTCCTCCAATTTCATCTCTTTGCGCTTATGCTTCAGATAATTCTTGAATTCTTTCCAGAATGGTGGCAATTTTTCAATGATTGCTGCTACTTAGAAAGATTTACTGAGAACCATTCCTTTCGCATGTATGTCATGAAGAATTATTTGAAGATCTTCGACTTGGCTAATAACCGTCTTGGAATCCATTATTTTAAAATCTAGGAAACGGCGAACAACAAATTTCTTTGTACCAGCGTCCTCTGTTCTATACTTATGATCTAGAGATTCCCACAGTTCTTTAGCAGCGCTTTTGACACTATACACATTATACAGTGTATTGTCCAACCCATTGAGGATATAATTCTGACACAGAAAATCACCATATTTCCATGCGTCAACTGTGGCAACCACTTGTCAGTCAATTTCTTCCTTGTTCAGCGTCAGTGCTTTTTCATGAGCGAAGCGAGCTAAATTCAATATCGTAAGATAAAATATCATTTTTTGTTGCCATCTTTTAAAATCATTTCCATTAAATTTTTCTGGCTTCTCTCCATAATTTATCGGTACTGCCGGAGTTATCATTGGCACAACAGGTGTGGAGGTCGGAGGAATATAGTCTCAGTACTGTTAGTTGTCATATTTCTGACGAAATAAAAATGTACCAATCACAAATTTATACAAAAAAGATTTTACACACAAAATATACATAATAATATTTTGTAACAAAATTCTAATGATAAACGGTATATGGCTATTATGTTATCAAAGAAATCATTAAATAGCATATTATTACTATTTAAGAAATTAAACAGTATATGACTACTATTTAATTTTCCAAAACAAAATATTCATCTGTCTAACACAAATAAATAAATAAAAAAAAAATCTACTTTAAGATTGTTATTCCCACAGAGGGTGTGTGTGTAAATAAAATAAACAACAAAATAAATTAATTTAGAAATAATTTAAAAAATTAAATTCTGAATTAAATGCTTACAGAAATTTAAGTCGAGGCTTGTGTTGGACACAGTTTTCTTAAAGTAGATTTCGCCCTCGCTCCGGTGCTTTGAGTTTTATCGGTGTCTACTTCCTAAGATGTAACGACTAACACTTAAATTTGCTGCGCTACAAATTCAAGTTTGGCAAACCAAAACTTTGTTGTAACTCTCTCTTTTTCTTCCTAAAAAAAAATGTAGAAACAGATGCAAGAGCACAAGAAGAACAGAAAAAGAAGGAAGAAATTCTTAGGGAAAAATTCAATACAAGAATGCTGGAATTGAAGGCTTTTTATAGTAGAAATGGTGGCTATTTCGAATAGGTAGAAAACCTGTTCGGACAGATTGAATGGGTACCAGACTAATTTGAATCTATTTGGATAGATTCAGTTCGAATTGAACAGGTATGAACCTATTTTGAACCCTTTGAACCTATTCGGGTGGGTCTGAACCCGTTAGGGATCTATTTAGGTGAAAGAAAAATTCTGGACCAATTTATTTGGAATTTTGAAATCAAAATTTAAAAATTAAAAAAAAAATTACAAAAGTTTTTGGCTAAAAAAGATAAGTATTAGGCTGAACAAGTCCAACCCACCATGCACCCACACCTAAGCCTAGACCAGCCTGCCCGGACGGACGGCGGCGGTGGTAAACGCGTGTGTTTGTTTTTGATTCCAATGGGTCTAACCCATTTGCCCATAACCTCACCCTTCCACAAATTTGGATACCCCTTGGGGGCCATCCAAAGTATCCCAAGCTAAGGTTTATACTTTTATTTAAAACCTTAAGTTTTTCCAATCTGGGACAAGCACATTTCACAAATGTGTTGGGAGCCCATCTAAATTGATTTCCACGAACTCGAAAATGTGCGTTGAATTCTTATTTATCCAGAAATGGTTTTGAGCAATCAAATACACGAATTTATTCACTACGCAACATTAAACATGAACCCAATTAGAAATGTTAAAAATAATGCTTGGGTCCCACCTTAATTAATGCTCAAAGTTAGCAAAAAATAAGGATTTTCAAAGCCATTTTCCAACATACCTTTATAGATGTAGTAAGTGTAGTGTGTAGTTCAATGGTCTTGGGCTAAGCCTTTCTCAATAGAAATGGATATTCAAGTCTCCATCATGACAAAAATTTTAAGTGAATGCATTGTAAACGGCCACTGGTTCTTAAGGTTAATTGATTTCAGGTTCAAATGGTTTATCTAAGAATCACCGGTTCTTGAAAATGTCCAGTTCTAATGGTCTATCTGAACCGGAGCTTAGACTGGTCGACAGTTTAACTGGCCGGTACGGTCCAGTCCGGTTTCAAAGACATTCGTGATGTGTATATTTTCCTAAGACTTTTCCAAATATCTTTTGCTTCCTCTGTTTTGAATGTGCATTCATAAATGATAATTGTATTATTCCACTTTTAAAGTCCTTAAGGAGGGGGCATATTTGTGCAAATTTCTTTTCCAAAAATCCATATTGGGATCAGTATGGTTAGGTTTCTGTTTTCAGATCCATGCAAATTTGGTGTTTGCTTTTATCTTTTTAAATACTTGTCATTTAAATTTATACACCTTTTTTCTTGCATTTCTCCTTTATGCAGTCAGTTGACACTCCCATGGAATCACATGATTTCTTCACGGTCAACCCTCAAACTGAGACACAAACAAACAACCCATTTCCAGACCCTTCTGCTTTAGATGAAGAGTGTGAATTAATGGATTCTACAAACTCCAATGACGGGGAACAACCTGTTCTGCAAAAGCTTGATGGTTCTCAACACTGTTACCCTGTTATGTTTCCTGCTTATATCACTTAATTCTTACCATTTTCAGTTCACAGTACAGAGGCGGCTAAAACGGGAGAGACACACGAAGTGCTTAAGCCCATAGCAGTACATTCAAAGAGCCCAATTAATGTTGATGAGCTGGTTGGAATCTCAAAACTCAACATTGGGGAATCCTTTGGGGATGCGGGCCCCTCCCCTCTCCCGCTCAAACTACTTGAAGGTTCGTCTAGTAGGCAGTCGTCTTTCCAGGCTAATCCTGGCTCGGGGAGCTCACGTGTTAACTTGAGCAGCAATCCAATCCATGCAGTTTAGAACTCTATCTTGAGATTACGGGGTGCTACTTGCTGACGGGGTCTAGAGAGACTTGTTAATACAAGACAATAATGTGCAGTCTAGTTTGAATTTAGTTATAGTTGTCTTTGTTGGATAACCTTTAATAAGTTTTTTATTTCTAGGAATTGTTAACTTAAAAGTCAATTCTAACCTTGTAGGGTTTATATCAACTTGTTTCATAATTTCTTGAACTTTAAGAAATTTTGTGTCAAGTTCTTTTGATCTTCCTAAGTTTATTTTTTGTGGTATACTAACTTAGAGATGTCCTCTAATGTTTTGTTTTAAGTCTACCTTAGAGCTGCAAATGAACAGAGCTGTTTGTGAACAAGCTCGAGTTCGGCTCGGTAAGAGTTCGTTTGAATTCGGTTCGTTAATTTTTTTTTGAGATCGAGCTCGAGCATGTTAAGTTTTTAATAAACAAGCCTGAACACTCTAAAGCTCAGTTCGTAAGCTTGGCTCGTTTAATATGTAATATTTATATATTAAATAATGTAAAAATATGTTATTTATATATTAAAAAAATATAAATGTAAATAATAGTTAACTATAGATAGTACATTTATATAATAGTGATAGTAGATATTATTATTTTGATAAAATATCGACTTTTTTTTAAGAATGTTTATATATATTGTATATATAATTGTATAATCATAGTTTCAATAGTAACTTAAGTCACATACGCAAGTATGAATTTATAAATTTTTTGGCTCGTTAAGGCTGGTGAATAAGCTCGAGCTTGAGACAAACCTAAGCCAACTCGGCTTGAGCTCGGTTCGTTAAATTTTTATTGAGTTTAGGTTCGAGCTCGTTAAAATCTTAATAAACAAGCCCAAACATACTAAAACTTTGCTCGGTTCGGCTTGTTTGCAGACCTAGTTTAACTAGAAAATGAGATACAGTATGGAATTGGGTATTTGTTACAATTTCTTGAACTTTTTAGGGAGTCCTTTTGATCTTCCTAAGTTGATTTTGTGTGTTAGATCAACCTAGAAATGTCCTATAATGTTCTGTTGTCATTTTAATTAGAAAAATGAGGTACGGTCTGGAATTGGGTATTAGTTACAAGAAAACCAGCCTCCTATAAGCTTTTGCAATTGTGCTATTAGATGGAAAATTGTTATTAGTAGTGTGTTTGGGTACCGGGAAAATTTGAAAGAAATGTTGATCTTTTCTAATGCGCTTTCTTTTGCATGTTGGTTTCATGTGTTTGAAAGGCAGGAATAAAGAATCCTTTTCAACTGTTTGCAGTTGCTATTTTACAATCATAGACGCTGGAACACCAGTAACTATTATGTGTTTTGTGCCCGTTTACTAATAGGGGTTGTGTTTAAATGATTCGTAATGTAACGCCCTCAAAATAATACATATAAACCAATCATTCAAGACATCCATAGCAATAAGAGAATAACACATATTTCCATTTATCAGAGTATTTAGTACAAAAGTATTACATATTGACAACAAAAGTAAATGCCCTATAGGCTTACAACTTTCCAAGTCAACACTTGGTTACACCAAAAGAAGAGTTCTAACTCTTTTACATAATAAGCCCTTGGCTTGATTTACATGTAATACAAAATGATAACAACAAAAATGCTCTTTCAGCATCTAAGCCTCCCAAGCTACGTCCTTGGAGGTGGCATATCACTTGTACCTGAAAATGATGTCCAATATAGGATGAGCCAAAGCCCAGTAGAGATACGCTAAACCAAATATGAATAATAACTAAAACATTAGCATTTGATAAATGTTTAACTCATATAAACAACCGTACATCTCTTGCATAACCAATTCATATTCACAACCACATTTCAATCCCTTTCCGTTTCATTATCCAATTTAAATCATAGATATGGTTCTCTGTTCATCCAAACAGTTTATAATGAGACTATAACTCATATTAACAATACTGCTATCATGATCAATTAATATAAGACTACAACTCACATTATTAACACTTCAATACTTCAATTCATCTACGTTATGCAAACGTAATTAGGATTTCTAGACTTTCACCCTGGACGCTCCGGCCAACTTAGTTATCAACGGAGTCCATCCCCTATCTCCTCCCAAACAGGTTTGAGAGTACATCCCCTATCTCCTCTTAAACCATGGAGTACATCCCCTATCTCCTCCCAAACAAGATACATATGCAATGTATTTAAAAGCTCTATCATGTACAATGATCAATCCAGGCACATATTCAATGTGACAATTCAACAGTCATATTCAATGACATAACTCAATTGATTAGTTTCAGTTTTCCCTAATCAACATACAGTGTCTACAACAATCAAGACTATCCTCCACCGATATCTCAAAACAATTATTTCTAAACAGATAATAAATTCATCAAACAGATAAATTATCAACAGTTTCATAGGTGAGTGATTAACTAATCCAACTACACCATTCAATCTCATAACTTCTCAATTTCATAACTTTCAACCCAATTTCATATTTCCATAACTTTCTCCAAATTAATTATACAAATTAATTATTTAATTTCAATTAGGGCTTTTCCCTCATTTTCTCAAATATTGATCCTAAGACCAAATTCCACCAATTCGACTCACAAACCCTCATTCCCAAGGCCTTATATGCACATGGAGCTTTAAAAACACAAAACCCCTCTTTTATAATACATCTTACAAGATAGGATAAAAGTGTGTGCAAAAACGGAGAATAAAGAGGGTAAGAAGTTACCTTTGAAGACTAGCAAGAACCAGCAGCCTTTAGGTCTCAAAAACCAGTCCCTTGGCCTCTGAAAATGAGCTCCAAGAACCTCCAAGTGATGATGGAATTGTGTGGCTATGAAGTGGTGTGCAATTGGCCAAGAACAAGACCCTTTTGGACCCTCTAACCCACCCAAATGTAGAGAGAGAAGGAGATATATAGAGAGGGTGATATATATATCTTATATATTAGATTTTCTAACCCTTGAAATGGGAGGAGAGGCCCTTCTTATATAGGCCAAGGCAAGGTGCCAAGCTTCTAAGAGAAGCTAACATAAAAAGAGTCAAGGGGGGTCAAGCTTCTCTTAGAAGCTTGGAGCAAAAGGGCCAAGCTTCTTCGAGAAGCTAGGCAAAGGGGTCAAGCTTCTTGGAGAAGCTAGACAAGGGTTCAAACTTCTCTTAGAAGCTTGGAGCAAAGGGTTCAAGCTTCTTGGAGAAGCTAGAACAACGGTGCAAAAGGTGCAAGCTTCTCTTGGAAGCTTAGAAGGGTTCAAGCTTCTTGGAGAAGCTTGGAGCAAAGGGTTCAAACTTCTTGGAGAAGCTAGAACCATGGGTTCGAAAGGTTCAAGCTTCTTGGAGAAGCTAAAACCAAGGGTTCAAAAGGTTCAAGCTTCTTGGAGAAGTTAAAACCAAGGGTTCAAGAGGGCCAAGCTTCTTGGAGAAGCTAAAACCAAGGGTTCAAAAGTTTCAAGCTTCCTCAAGAAGCTAAAACAGGAGGTTCAAAAGGTTCAAACCCTCTCAAGAAAAGGCCTCGGCCAGAAAAGGTGGCTAATCGGCCAAGAAAGTTGGCTGATCGACCACAAAATGTGCCGACCGGCCATCACCAATGGCCGATGGCCACAAAACACTGGCCGGTGGCCTCTAGCCATGGCCGGTGGTGTGTGGGGATGTCTCACAAGCCATTCCCTGCCCTCCAAAAGCAAAACACAAGTGTTCGGTGCAAAACCAAACACAAAACAGTCGAGTTAAGAGATCCTGAGGCAAGGCACGTAGCTGAGACCTCTGAGAACTCAAAACGAACACAAGCATGGATGATCACCGAGTGTTCAAACGGTGACGTCTAAGTCTTGAGGACGGTCAAAAATGGGGTGTCTACAGTTGCCCCTCTTTGACAGAACTCGAAAGTCATAAAAATGACGGGAGTGAGTGTCAAAGCCCAGAGACGACCCATTTTTGACAAGGCCGAAGACTTAGACAAAGCAATCAAAATAGGCATGCAGAGATGCACCCAGAGGCTGGGGCAAAATGCAAATGGTATGCAAGAAGATTTTGATAATTGGACTTATACGCTTTTACGAAGCTGATTTGTAATTGGACTTATACGCTTTCGCGAAGCCAGTTTGTAATTGGACTTACATGCTTTCGTGAAGCCGGTTTGTAATTGGACTTATACGCTTTTGTGAAGCCGGTTTGTATGCAAAACAATGCAATGTACAAACAAGTACAGGTAAGGTGTGCAAGATAGCGCGAATGAAATGCTATGGTAGTAAAGATGCAAAGGGTGACAAACTCCAACCATGCCGGAATCATGAGAGGAGGTAAGCAATTCCAAACACGCTGCAATCGTGTGAGGAAGGAACAAAGAGAGAAACATAGAGACATATCCCAGTGTTTCGGAATGGTATAAGCATTGGAACGTATTCCAAATGCTCTTAACCAAGGAGGGGGGAACATAGGGATGTATCCCGGTGTTTCAGAAAAGAAGAAGAAACATAGGGACGTATCCCGGTGTTTCGAAAAGAAGAGAGAAAAGTAGGGACGTATCCTGGTGTTTCGGAAAGGAAGGCGAAACGTAGGGACGTATCCTGGTGTGAGCATTGGAACGTATTCCGAATGCTTTTAACTGAAGAGGGAGAAACATAGGGACGTATCCCGGTGTTTTGGAATGATGTGAGCATTGGAACACATTCCGAATGCTTTTAACCGAAGAGGGAGAAACATAGGGACGTATCCTAGTGTTTCGGAATGGTGTGAGCATTGGAATGTATTCCGAATGCTTTTAACCGAAGAGGGAGAACATAGGGACGTATCCTAGTGTTTAGGAATGGTGTGAGCATTGGAACGTATTCCAAATGCTTTTAACCGAAGAGGGAGAAACATAGGGACGTATCCCAGTGTTTAGGAATGGTATGAGCATTGGAACGTATTCCGAATGCTTTTAACCGAAGAGGGAGAAACATAGGGACGTATCCCAGTGTTTAGGAAAGAAGGGAGAAACATAGGGACATATCCCGTTGTTTCAGAAAGAAGGAGAAACATAAGGACGTATCCCGATGTTTCGGAAGGAAAGAGAAACATAAGGATGTATCCCGGTGTTTCGGAGAGAAGGAAGAAACATAGGGACGTATCCCATTGTTTCGAAATGGAAAGAGAAACATAGGGACGTATCCCGGTGTTTCGGAGAGAAGGAAGAAACATAGGGACGTATCCCGTTGTTTCGGAATGGAAGAAGA